CTATATCCTTCATTTGCTTTAGTCTGAGCCCCTGGGGTTAATTTGCCACAAAAAAGCAGAAATGTTTTTTTATACCTCGACAGGGAAAATAACCAGAAATATAACAGAACCTCTATGGTAGCATTATGCCAGCAGGAGACATGAGTCAACTGTACAGCACTTCCTGCACTCCAGAACACAGCATTGGATGCACAGCCTCCCATTTAACAACCAAAGCCTAAAAGCAATGTTACAAGGGACTTTGGAATGCTTTTTGGGAAGAGGAGAGAGAGAAGTATTTTAACACAGGAGAATGTTCAAAGAAATTATACCGGTTTACACCCCTACAAACATGTTAAGAATGAAGATGGGAACACACTCCTCAGTATATTTTTGAGAGTCAGAGGGAATCACTTTAGGCTTTAGTTCCATAAGTGTCATGATGCCTTTGGATATCTCACTTGAGATAGGCTGAGGCTCCCAGCCTTTCCTGAATAGGAAGTTTAATAGCAGCCTTGACTAGATGGAAAGCAAAGCACCAGACTCCAGCTCCTCCACCTCTTCCTTTCCTTTCCCCAGGTAGATTCTGGGCCCAAGAGTCTGGCAACATTCTGCAAACCAAAAGGAAATGGGTGAAATGGCAGAAGATGCACGATCAACTTTCTCACTGCCTGCTAACACTATCTTAAGCTTGGGGGACTCGAGAGGGCAGTACAGAGCAAACAAGAATGCTTTGCCTTCATGTGTCTTGTTTGCTGTTGTGTGGTTGTGCACTGCCATTGGGAAGCTCTGTTTTTCCATAAGCAAGCGTCACAAGGCCCTTTTTTTGTGATTTGTGAAGCCCAACATCTGGTCTGATATTTGGGCTCAGGCTGTGCATCTGCCTTGTATTCAATGTCTTGCTATTTGTCTTTTGAAACAAAGCAGGTCCCCACAGCTTGTCATACCTTGTGACTAGCCATGACCAGAAGTTGTTCAGATTTTCAAACATGCCTAAAGGCCCCAGATGTTTGGGAACCCTTGCTTTAAACTATGTCAGGAAAGACTAGCAGTTTATAGCTCTGTAGAAAGATGGACATACTTCGTGAAGAATATATGTATGATACTTATGAGGATGACAGTCAAGAAAAATTATACATGGTTATGAAGTGTCCTTTTCAGTGTCTGCTGACAAACCAGATCATCAATCTGCTGTGAATAACTTGAAAGGCTATGCTACCAGGCAAAAGAACAAAATGAGTGTTGTTTGTTTTAAAATGCAAGCCTGCAGGGCAGGGCCAGAAATCCACAGTATTATAAGGAAAATAAATGATGAAGTAATTCCATGGGCCCAGCATATTTTGATGGTATGCGGCACTATTTTAAAGAGCTGCTTTTAGTGTTTGTTACAATAAATTACAACCTTTCATACAGACAAAAGGATTGTTGGAAATCTGTTTTCACATTTACTGGCAAAGCCATTTATTTTCAGCTTGTAATCCCAGCAGGGGACACCCGGCTAGCGCCAGCTGTCCCACATGCTACTTGGGGACTTAGGAGCAACTGTCACTGGCGGTGGTCTGGTTGGGCTTGGCAAGGGCAGCAAGGGGGGTTTGCTGCTCTTGCTGACTGGCTCACCAGCTGCTTCCTGGTACCCACCAAGGGTTCAAGTAACTCAGGTTTGGACAGCATGACAATCCATAGCAGGTGTAACAAGCCATGTGTTGTCAAGCTGTCTTTATGCTCACCAACATGCCACCCTGCTTGGGGCACAACCCACTAATGCTTTGTCAGTTATGCAAATTGAGCCATCCTCTCATTGAGCCTCTCAGTGCAAGAAACTAGGCTCACTCTTTGAGAACCAGGAATATAATGGGCACAGTGGTACCTCAGCTCACGAACACCTCAGTTCACAACCAAATCGGGTTGTGAACAAAAATTTCATAAAAATTTTGACTATGGTCGCAAACTCCGCATTGGGTGGCGACTGAGATCGCGTCCGTCTTTCCTGCATGAGCGCAACGGCAATCTTGGTCATCTCCTCCCCCCACGATCGCGCCCGTCTCCTGCCCCGAGTGCGCCTGGGTTTGTGCCCGTCTCTCCCCCCTCCCAGCTCGCTCACGTTTGCGCCCATCTCTCCCCCCCGCCGGTGAGCCGGGATGACGGCCACGTGCAGGAATGACCGGCATGATCACAGTCATGCTGGGGGAGGGGCGGGGAGATGGCCACTATCTTTGTTGTTGTCACTTTGTTTCACTTTTTTTTTAATTAAAAAAAATAGTTACAGAACGGATTAACCTTATTTACATTGAACCTTATGGGGAGATTTAACTTGGTTCACAACTAATTTGGGTCATGGAACGGATTAAGTTTGTGAGCCAAGGTACCACTGCATATGAAACCTGTCCCAGCTCATCTCTAATTAATTTGTAAAGTTTGGCATGCAGTGCTTAGGAACTGCTGCTAGCGTTTCAGAGAATTGCACACAAAATATACTGTTTTCCCTCTGGAATAATCCTTTTCCATGCCTGAAGCATGAAAACAGGATGGCATTCTAAACCTAGGGACCAGGTAGATAAGGGCTTAGGACTACCAGCAAAATGAATTAATATTGAAATTTCCATAGCAGAAGTACCCTAACATTTATTTTTACATGAGTTCCTCTATTTTCCACAAAATTAAATCAATATTTGCTCAGTGTTCTTGCAATATCTTCTGTCCTTCTGTTGTCATGGCAGAGGAAAACGATTCTCACATCATGGATCGGTCCTATGGTGTTTGAGCCCCATGAGTTTGAATACTGTTCGTCATTTAATCCTAAAGAACTGTTCTAAATATAGCTCTAATATTCAAAAAGCTTGCTTTGTTTTTCAACTTTACCTAATAATTCAGTTGGGTAATTCATTCTTATTAATATTTAATACTGTTTAGGAAATACCTATATAAATAGTGAAAATTCAAAGTGTTAAATGTATATAATCTTATTAATATACTGTATATACATAGCTTTCTCCAAGACAGGGTCTTTCAGATGTCCTGGATTCCCAGCGTGCAAAATTAAGCTTTTAAAGTAAGCAGGTCTTATCTTACTATTACATATCATACATGCTCTGGCTGAGATGTAGGCCTATTTATATGATCACTGAGCCCACCATGGTTTGCATAACCCATGATGAGTTGCAGTGTGTTTGAATATTTAAGCCATGAGGGATGGTCACTGTGGGGTCATCATGATGCCCAAATCCACTGATGTGAGTTCTTGGTGTAACTACCAAGCTATTCACAATGCACGGACTGCTTAGGTTTATTTAAGCCACAGCAGGCTGCAGAGATCAAGCAAACTGGACCACTGGGGCTTGGCATGACCAGGTGCAAACCACCTGATTTGTACAACAGCACTTTCGGAGCACTTGCTGCTGCTGTTACTGCAGCACCCTGAAATTTCTAAACAAACAACCCCATTAAGGTGGCTGAGTAAGACAGAGTAAATAAAACTCTATGGGGTGGAGGAGCAATGTAAAAATCACTAATTTAACTGTCTCGTTTGCGCCATCCGTTTTTTAAAGCTGTTTGAAATATTTGTGCATTTGTGGAAAAAATACTCAAATTTAGTGACTAAGGAATAAAAGGAGGGGAGTTGTACATAAGTGCTAACAAGAGCACACATTTTACCTCCCCTTACTACTCAGCCCTTAAATGCATGTAAAATTTTTCTCCATTTACTTTTAGCCATCAATTGTTCATGTATTTCTGCAGGGATTTTTAGAGTTGTCAGTGAGCTGCAGTAACCACAGCAGCAAGTGCTCTGAAAAGCAGGTCCCAAAAAGCGTGTGTGCTAGCATCACCCTTTTCTGTAGTAGAGGAAGGTGACACTGGAGGAAACTGTGAAGTGTTGGTTCAATCCTTAAAACCAGGTGATTTGCATCAATGGGGGGGGGATCTTGTCCCCCCTGACTAGCACTTTGCATTGACAGCTGTGAAATCAGTCCCTGTCATGTGTGTGCAGATATGACTATTTGCAGTTTCACCTTGTCAATTTGTTTCCTGCTGCATGCTGCCTCTTCCTTTGACAACTGAAACAAGGAAATTGACTAGGCAAGACTTCAGATACTGGACAGCCATAACTGTGCATCATCATCAACAAAAGTTTTTAAAATTATAAACCTGCATAATTTTCTGGGGCTGAAGTAGTAATACAATACCTATGGCACTTGTTGAGGCTCCAAAGCACAGTAACAAAAGACTAGAGCAGGGAAAGGGAATAAAGAGCCCTCGGAATGCAGCTGGAAGAATGAGAGAAAAAGAGGGGGAAAACAACTCACTGTAAGCCCCATCACCTGCCAGATGCACTGCAGGTTGTTCCACACACAACCCACGTTGCATAACTTATTCCCACAGTGACTTAGCATGTGTGAATGTGGTCCATTGGTCAGCTGTGATCCACACTTCTGGGCCAACTCTAGAATAGCATCCCCACCATCTCATTCCATGCTACAATTAATAGTCCAATTAATAAGTTGTTGTGTCATGCAAACTATATGGTTTGCATTTGGCCTTGTCAAGCCCCAGTAGTCCAGTTTGCATGATCAGTGTAGGTTACTGCGGCTTAAATAAGCACATACGTAATAGGTACTGTAACTACCAACACTGGAGAGGATTCCTGCTTCTTGGACAAAAACAGTACCTGGAGGACACAGCTAGCCTTGGCTGGTTGTCACTTTTTTCCTCTAGTAAAATAATAAAAATAAAAATAAAAATGGGTGGCTCAAAATAAATCAGAATCCTAGTGCAGGGTGTGGCGAGGTTAGCTTCAAACCCCCCCACCACCTTATGGATCTGCACCTGTGATTTCTATTAAAAATAGTGCTCCATAGCAAATGGATCATTATGTTGCCATGGAAATTGTGCACTTGGGGAGGGGGTAGATCAGGTTCATAATGGGGCCTGCACATAAGGTTAAAGCTGCCAACCTCCCATGCTGAGTCCTGACAGGAGTGGAATAAAAATACCCTTTGAGAGACCACTGCGGATATACAATCAAAGAACATTTACAGTTTTATTCAGACATATAGAAATTAACAAGTGGCATGTAGGCAGCTCCCAAAAGGATTACAAAGATGGAGGCTGTACAAGATATTTTTCAGTTACATACAATTTGGAGGAGGGATGGGGGATCACTAGAGGCACATTAGAATAAAACTAAAAGGACTGAGGCACTACAAAGAAAGAACATCCAGGACAGGTATCAGGACAGAGACATTAGCATTTCTAAGGCATACTGGGAAACAAGGCTTGTAACATGGATTCTTGATTAAGAATCTCATTTTAAGTCTAAAGCTGTTCTTACAGAGTCAGGCTTTTAGTGTACTATGGCAAAGTATTTGCTCATTTTGTCCTGCCAGTCCCAATCCAGACTGCCCCTGTGCCAACTCTAAAGTAAAAAAAAAAAAAAAAAGGAAGCAATTACTTTCAAGTAATCTTTGCTATGGCCCTAAATTTTAAAGTTTTATCCCAGTAATTCACAGGTGTTAAAACCCATGAGCAAAATATTTATTTCAAGTCAAAGAAAGGGGAAAAAGGACAAAAAGTGAGAGCAAGAGCAAGAAATAGTGCACCTGGATCTCGCAGTCTGCCTGTTCATCCTCACAGATTAAACTTGTTTCCCATGGATCAATTAACTAAGGATTGGGCAGAAAAACAATTAAAATTAGTCACCATTGTCATTAAAAAGAAGATGCTCTTTATTATATGAGAAGAACCTTAAGGGAGAATGACTGGAATATTAGGGAATGAAGGCATCACTTATCCAAAAGGAACAGATGAAACAGGAAGGGAGAAAGAATAGCATTACATGTAAAGGATGCATGCACATGTGAAAAAATCCATGAATTGAAGCATGGAAGATTGAGAGTTTCTGAGTAAAAACAGACAAGAGGGAAATAATAACCATTTAAGCAATTTCCCTACCCATCCCCTCTCCAAAATGTAGCTCGAAGCATCTTACAATGTGTAATGGCATAAAGGCAATCATGGTAACATATCAACAAACTGAAAGCAACCGGAAACACACAACCCTGAACTTCCAAAATATACAGACACTAAAAAAAGTAAGCAACAGCTGCAGTGAATGTTTATTTAAAGATAAATGTGTCCTCTTGCTGGAAAACACAAAATACAGAGGATGATGGCCTGATGATAAGGATAATCTCTTAAACATAAGCAGTGGGTAGGGGCTGCTATCAGGAAATCCCTCTTGCAACTGCTACCTCTAAAGGCAACAGAGTAGAACAAAGGTGAAACAGCTGATCTTACAGGATGGGAAGAACATGAATCTCATGAACCATGAGAATGTTGCAAGCTGCTTTGATTTAGTTGTAAGGAAAAAGATGGAATATAAATAAAATAAATAATCAAGTAGGGCATGGCCAGATCTGCCCACACTAGCAATGGATGCAGCTGGAGCACCAACCAAGTTGAATAAAAATGGTGGCCACAGCCAATGCACCTACTAATCAGAATTTGCAATTTATTAATTTTATACTACACAATAGTCAAAGCTCTGGATCACAATAGTCTGCTATGGATCACCAAGTTAACGAGATGTCTTGGATGATGCCCTCTTTAGATCAGATGACCAAATTTGCAAAGAAAAAACATAGCAATAATCAGATCCTGATAACTGTTAAATTTTGCTAAGAATGAAATGCCTGATAGTTTCTGAACTGAATTGCTGATAATTTCATATATCAAAGAAGAGACAAGGGATCAGCTATTCTGGGCCTAATCCTTACCAAGGAAAGAACTGTTGATGAGATGAAAGTAGTGTGGACCTAGTGTGGGGAACAGTAATTATATCATCTTGGGATTCATGATACTGAGGATGGGAAAACTGATTATAGCCAGCACTGCAACCCTGATTATATAGGAAAGCCAATTTAATTGAATAAAAGGAAATACTAGGTGTGAACCAGTGGGTAAAACACTTGGAGACTGTAAAAGTGTTTATCAGTCTACTCTGCTTTGATCAGACCCCACCAGGAATTCTGCAAAGAATCAAAATTTAAGAATATTTATTAGATTTATATACTGACATTTTTGTTACAAAGACTCAAAGCAGTTTACATAATTCTTCTCCTGCAGCTCTCAATCTTATCCCCGTAACAACTTTGTCAGGTAGGTTGGGCTGAGAGTCTGTGACTGACCCAAAGTCAGACACTTGATTCCATGGCTGAGTGGGGAGTAGAATCCAAATTGCCTAAGTCCCAGTTCCATGCTCTTAACCACTACGCCACCCTGCTCTCTCTGCGTATGGAACATGGAAGAAATCTGCAGGACCTAGAGAACAAATCCTATGAAGAGCTTGTGAGTTGAGTATGCTTAACCTGGAAAAAAATTAAGCAGTTATATGATGATTATTTTCAAATATCTTAAGAGATTGCACACAGATGAATGGGGAAATGGCAATTTATTTCCTGTTAATTTAGAGGGTAGGAACTGAACCAGGGGGTTCAAATGGCAAGAAACAGGGTTGAGACCAAACTTCAAGACAGTACAAGCTGCTTGAAAGAAGAATGTGCTGCCCTGAAGCAAGATGGAGTCTCCCATGTCAAAGATTGCTAAGCAGAGGTTGGATGGCTACCAATCAGGCCTGCTGTAGTAGTGAGTTTTTGCATTTGCCACCTTTCTTGAGGTGCCTTCCATCTCTATGATTCTGAAATTGCAGGGCTGGTGTTGATAGGAAGGGGAGGAAAGAGGCTAAAGAATAAAACAGACAAAATAAGCTAACCCTAACCCTAAACACACTTAACATGAAAATACTGAACTATTTGTAAGGATTATGGATATTACACTTGAAGTGCTTGATACATAGGTTTTATGTTCTAAAGGCTTGGATTCTAAAGATTGAGGCTGCAATCCAGGGTAGGGTTAGGCACACTAAAGTCCACTGATTTCCATGATCTAAAGTGTGTTGAATTCTGCCTAGGATTAAGCTGCATGAGAAGTCACCCACCAGGATTTTTCCTGATAGATCTCAGAGTGGAGAGTATAACATCAAAGCCAGAATCTTCTTCAGACTGCAAAGAAATCTGGCAGAACACATGCATCAACATCTAGTGTTTAACACCTGCTGCCATTTTTGAAGGCTGGTAAGAAAAAGAAAAGTGGGTGGAGTATGATACCTCTCCAAACAACAGTAAATACACATCTTAAATGGCAAACTGAATCTTAGAAAGTTCCCCAGACTCCCCCATTGATATAGATGTAAGGTTCTGGCACCTGCTGATAGTATTGGTTTCCATTTGTAAAGAATACAGTAGTTAACACAGGGAAACTTAATATGAATGGAGGGTTATTTGCGATTATAACAGAAATTAATACTTTCTGTTGAAAGTTAGAAAGTAAAAAGGGTAACAACTCCTGTCAACATGAGGCAGTAAGAGCTTGCCAAAGTCGTGTGCAGTTCTGGACTTCAATTCTTAAAAAGGCCAAGTGCAATGATAGAAGGGGCTTATTGAAACATCTGTTGGATCACAGAAGAATCTACTTCTCCCAGCTTCAAACCAGCACACAGGCTTGCCATCGTTGCTTTTTTTCCAAAGCGCTGTCTCCATGAAATGAATGCGCTCACAATCTGTGAGTGGATATTGTTTGGGTGATCGGCTTTACAGCGATAAATGTCAGTGCATGTCAAACCCAGGGACAATACAATTGACTCCCATTCAGGTCCAAGACTCCTGGCAAGCTTATTAATTTGCTGATCTGTTGGTGGGTTCTTCAAAATGTGTTGTGAAATTCCAGGTATGTCATCATCTAGAAGAAAAGAAAATGGTACAGATTATTATCCTGTGGAAAAAAAGAAAAAACCTTTAATGCTATCTTGGAATTTCAACTACAGAACAATGACAAAGCAGACCTCTAAACCAATGTTGGGGAACAGTTCATAAATAAAGGCCATTAAACAGATTAAGGGTCCAAGTTTCTGTTTCCACTTTAGAAGCCAAAACTGACTTGGGCCTTAAAAAAGATTCAAGAAAGTTCCTCAATAATCTAAGCTTTATAAAATTGGTAACTGTGTCAATTCACATGAAAACCCAAGGAAGCAGTTAGTAGTTGTCTTTATCAATTATCTGAAGCAGATTTTTAGCTGTTTCTGAGTTGAGCTAGTACTGTAGCATTACAATTTCCATTGTTCCTGACCACTGACCATGCTGACTGGGGCTGATGGATGCTGTAGTTCAAAACATCAAGAAGGCATGCTTTGGGGAAGATAATATTACAGACTTGTTAAGGAGAGTGTAAATGTTGTATCTATTCTGCCCATGTGTAAGCTCTGGTGAAAAAGGGGGAAAAGGTTCCAAACTAAATAAATGTATTGCCAAGCATGTTTTTAAAAAATGAACCAAGAGCCCACTAAAGTTCCATTGCTACAACTGTCTCTGAACCTTAAGTTGTAAATCTTTCTGAAGTTCAGAATTTTGTAAGTTAATAACAGTATTAGCTTCCTTTCCATTTATATGAAGCTAATACCATATAGGAATTCGTCAGTAAAGGAATTCGTCTTTTACTTCTGTTGCCTTGGCAATTGTATCAAAAATGGAGACAAACAACATTTGGTGCATGCTAATTATAATCATAGGGGGAGGGAGAAAGAAGCCATGCATTTCCTTACAAAGCAGCCTCAATATAAAACATAGTTTAGAACCCCAGTACCATACTGGCAATCCCTATTAAAGCAACACAAAAGCAATAATCACAATACAAGTCCTTATTCTTCATCAAAAGAATGTTTAAAAGCAGTTTTTTGTCAAACAAAAGTAAGACTCAGCAGATGGCTTTGGCCATTCCAAACAGATGGTATATGCACATGACAAAAAGGGCTTTAGAAGACAAAGACAGCTAATTTTAGAACTGTACTAAAGCCTCTTCTCTTTTGTAATTATCTGTTAAACAGGGGTCCCCAAACTTTTTGGGCCATCGAGCACATTTTGGAATTTTTTTCAATGAGACAGTGTTATGGCTGCCATGGCCAGCCACAAAATGCTATTTCCCAGAAGGCAAACTGGTGAGCCAAAAAGAATTCATCCCAAAAGCTAAATTCAAGTGAAAAGCAGGACCTCAGTTCCAAAACACTAAACCACTCTGCTCTAGTACTCTCCCCCCTCAAATGCCCCACCCTCCTAACTCCTCAAAATTATGCACAGAATACCTTTTCCTTTTTCCTTTTTTTGTGTGGGGTGATCTGGGCATGTTTTGAAATTGCTGGGCTGCAGCCATCTGCTATGGTTGCATTCTAGGCACGCCTCTGCGGACCATCTGAGGTCCAGAGGCATTCTTGGAAATAAAGGCAGTGTTGGAAGCCAATGTTTTGTAGCATACCTGCCTCACTATTAATTTTTCATTGAAAAAAGTCAGGACAGGCAGTGCCTGGTAGGTATCAAGGGAAGGACCCACAAGTACTAAGTTGGGGACCCAGGGTTAAACAATATTTTTTTTACTGACTGCTCTTTCTGTCTTTTCTCCATATACTGCTGTGTATGTAGCCAGATTACATGTGTGAAAAATAAAAAGCTAAAACAGATGAAATAATAAAAACAATAGATTAACAACAGCATAACATTAAATCCAAGGCTAGTCAGCAAGGAAGGTTTCTTGAAACAAAGATCTCTTCAGGAGGACTCAAGACACAGCAATACACGAGTGTGAAATCATGCGTTCATACAACATGATAAACCACAATGGTTGGTAATGAGAATCTTGTCGTGTTGTCTGAACCCAGCAACATGGTTTGTTAACCACTCTGGCTGGTTCAACCACCCTTGGTTTATAAGCCACCTACGTGTAGCTTATCATGAACCTAGTCAGAGTGGGAGCCTGCCTTACCTCTAGAAGCAGGAAGTTCTGAAGAAATGAAGTTCCCATACTGAAGGATCTTTTCTTTGTGGACTGATTGGGTCATAGGTCCATGTGGAATGCCCAAGAACAGTGATGGAGACAGTTTGGTAAGGGACAAAGCATTCTTTCAACTTTCCCCATCAATTTGTTTTAAGGCCTTGTACACTATTACCAGAACCTTAAACTTGGTCTAGAAGCAAATTAGCAGCCAGTACATTCCTTCAGCAAAGAAGCTGTATGCCAGAAAGGGGTAACTGCTGACAACAGCCAAGCTTCCCCAGTAGCCTTAAGAGTGCTACTGTGCACATTGCAGTGACTCTGTCTTGAGCTTATATTCTTTCAGCAACAAATGTCCTAAAACTTTTGTATAGGATAGAATAGAAATGCCTTAAATGAACAAACAAAACAAAGTAAAGATAGCTCTGAGACTGAATAGGAAGGCACAGATATATCCTTCCTGTTCCGAAGTCCTGCATCATCATCATCACCACCACCACCACCACCACCACCACCATCTTATTGCATTCATATACTACCCCAATAGCCCAGAGGGCTCTCTGGGTGGTTTACAAACCAGAAAGCCAGAAAGTCATAACTCAGCAAAACTGAATTGGTGGTCTCAGACTAGTCTGTAGTGTGCATATACTTTCAATCAGTTTGCAGAATATAATATCCTGCAAGACAGCCTTCCCCAACCTGGCTGGGGGCGTCTGAGAGCTACAGCCCAACAGATCTGGAGGGCATTGGATGGAAGGTTGCTATAGAACCAGACAGTACATTTCTGCTATAGAACCCAGAGCAGAAAATTTTGTTTCTTGTGCTGATGAGGCTGCTCTGTGATAATAGAGGTTATTCCCCAAAAGCAGATGCTGAAATATTGTACGCTCAACTCACACTGAGAGCTCTTGCAGTAGCCCACGCATTTTGAAAAAGCTAATAATGTAAGTCTGCAAAAATACATCTCAAAATGCAGTATGTATTCTAATAGTTTCTTAAGGCAGTGCATAACTATCACTGCCACAAGTGCTGACCTGCATTTTGCTTGAGCGGCTACTAGAGATGATTGCTCAACAGAACTTCCATGTACGGAAGAAATCTCCACAGCTGGCCATGGGTGGAAACAAGACACTGGTTAGGCAGACTGTTGGTCTGATACAGATTGATTCCTCCTGTTTCTTATACCCATAAATGTTCACCATGCACATGTTTCAAATAAACCTGCTCCTACTTAAAAGGTGAAGCTGTACATTAAGAAACAATGGTTTAATTTTTGGCACTGTTAGATTGTTACATTTTAAAATATACATGACTGCAGCTGCTTCTCTTCTTTTGGGCTGCTCATACTGAAAGAGAAAAAAAAGAAGTACCCACTGCAACTATCTCAAAGAGGTTTATCCTTGTTTTCTTTAAGAGGCTGTTGGAATTCTGTAATTTAGTATTTTACTAGTGCTCTTGAAGCGAGTGGTCATTTATTTAAAAGAGAAAGACAATGAATTACTTTCCCTGCTTTTGTTTTTTACTGGACTTGTAATTTAATGAAGATATTAAAGGTGAAAAATCTATCCAGGAAAAGAACACAATGGAGAAATGGGATATTTGATCTAAAAACAACAGCATTTCGTGTTGGTTCCCATTATCATGCAAGAGTTTGATCATCATTACACCGCATGGAACATCACCGTGCACTAAAATGGCCCATTAAAACTGTGCATAATCTAGAAAATAAGACTCTTCATTGTTTGATAGATCTAGGAATTTCTATAGATCTAGCAATATTGCCTATAATTGCAATGGGTTGTATACAACACTGATCTGACTTGAGTCTTTTCATTCCAGTGGGTCTACTGTACATAAAAGTAGCATTGGAGAGAGTACTAGTGCCTCATCTAAGGAAAATATCTTAATGTACTTTCCTTACCGATATTTCTACAGACAAGAAGTTTTACTATATAATGGCTTACTCATCGTATAGATACAAAACAGTTTGATGGATTCATTCCTCTTTTTCCTTATAGCTGCACTTTTGAAGCACTTTCTTGCAAATTCTTTCTTTGTGATCTGCCCTCTTTGACAATCTACCAAAAACTAAATAATTTGCCTCAGGTATTTGGCCCACATAATGGGGAGTATATCCTTTCATGGATGGCATGAAAATACAGACTGAAAACCCTGCTTACCAAGGCTTCTGTTGCCCAGAATTAAAATATAAAAAATAAAAAGCACAAGTAACATAATTATTAGTGATAGGAATCTAATCCTACCTTGCTTCACAGAAGCCTATTACTCAGGCTAGCAGTGGCCTGATGCAGAAGCAGCAATGCACGCCAGCCTTCTCTAACCTGGTGCCCTACAGACATGTTGGCCTACTACTCCCATAATCATCAGCCAGTGTAACAGTTGGCCATGCTAGCTGAAGGCTGTGTGAATGGCAGGGCACCAGGATGGATGAGGCTGCTTTATATGCTGTGAAAGTCTCGCTTATGTAAACCTTAAGTGCAATTTTAGGGGAGGTGTGATGGGAAGGAAATGCAACATTCCAAAGGAACTCCAAGAGGCTTGCTTTCTATTAGAGAGAGAGAAGCACACAGAGAGAGTAATGCATGAATGAAGTCATTTCAGCTTGGGGGGTGGGGGAATACCCCCTTGGGCCTATCTCTGGGTACTTGCTTCAAGCTTCCTGCTTGTGATTAAGGCAGCATTTCTATAAGCGAAGCGCAGGAGTGAATAAGCAAGCAGCTGCAGAGGTTATGCTCATACTGCAGCCACTATTTGTTAATGGAGCACAGTGGGAACATCTCCAGTGATTCCTAAAAGGCCATATGTTCCTCGAAGCACTGCAACCATAGCAACCGCTCACCACTTGCTTTGCTTCCAGGAAAGCACTGTTCTGTGTTGGGTTTGCTCACGCCTTTTTATTA